ATAATTTTCCCTGTTACCTGCTATCTCTTATTATATGCCTCGTTTCTGGAACGTTTTCTTGATGTGTCCGATGTGGGAGATAATTCGTGGTTACCATAAGCCATATAGGTACACTAAAGTTAATAGAAAAGGTTAGTGAACCCATGACTATCTGCACTAAGATAGTCGTCATTTTTTTATTTGGAAACACAAACTATTCGTCAAGTAGTTTTACCTTGACGGTAAACTGAAATTTAAAAGATAAGGATTATAAATTAGATCCAAATTTGCATCTGTAACTCTGAATTTTGAATAGTAGACTTGTTTGGAAGGTTGATAGTTGTTATCTATATTATGTTGTTACTTAAAATACAATATTTGTTTTAACTGCTGCTTAAATTTTATTGTATCGTTAACTATGAAATGGTGTTTTTTTATTTTTTCTCATTTTATCTTATTTATTACTCATTTTATTCTTCACTCTAAATTAATTTTTGTAATAGCTCTACTCCACACTCTACATTAATTTTCTTGTGGATTCATTCTTCAAATTGTTCAAGTGTGACATTATATAATGGCACATTCTATTCAAATATTATATTTATCAAAATAATTTAATACAATATAATATGATACGTGCAACAAACAACCATCCAAACAAGGTTACTATATAGCTCCAGCTCAGCAAACTTGGACTCATGAAATTTCCCGTAAACATACAAAAAAAAAATCATACCAGACAAATTTTATGTGATAAACTCGACTTAAAAAAGGGGTTTAACCTTCTAGCCCTTTGATTGAGAGATTTCCCATTCAAAGTTGTCAATCTTGGACAAAGAAGGGAACCCGTGCACGAGAGCATCATGAAAATATTGTAACCTAGTTGTGTTATATTTATTTTTTGTATTTATAAACCAAAATTGACTACATATTCTAACTTCTCATTTGATGAAATAAAGATAGAACAAGAGGGCTCTAAAAATAATCGTGCTAAAGCAGTATTTGCCAATTTGGTTATGATTAATTCCATATGGTTGAAAATATTCCAATATGTTAATTTGATGTTTCATCATTTTCCATTTCTTATGTAGTAGGGTTTCTGGCTTCTTTTTTAAAACTATATCTATTAGAATAACGTATTAGAAAATGCAGGTTAATTAGGGACCAAGACTAATAATGTACAATCATTATCTTCAATAAAAGTGGTCAACAACGTACTAAAGGTAGGGAAATTAGTGCTTACTTTTACTAATTTATTTATTTTTTTGGCATATGCTTCAACTTTTCTGTCTTTTCTTTTTCTTCTAATTGAATTTCCTTCTCTTGACTGGAATTATTCAAACATAATAGCTTATTCAACTTGCTAGTGCCTTAATTTGAATATAAATCAACTTCCTTGGCAATTGGCATGGATCATTTCTCTAATGCAATTTGCAACATCATTAATTATCTCTAAAGAAGCCGGCTCTATATGAATAAACTTTATGCTAACGGTGTTAATGTACCTTTATATATACTACTATCAAACAAATTATGCTTCAAATCTAAAATCAATTATTGATTATTAGCTATATTAAATCCTCACACTAAAAGAAAACCAATAATTATCATTATTAAAGTTGAGACAATATTTTTTAAAAAAAATCTTAATCAATAACAATCGATTTAATATGTTCGTTCTTACCTCATTTTTACCCTAAAATGAAAACCAGATGATTGACTGAGCCCATGGATTGTGATCTTGGCTGACACATTAGCCTTTTAGATTACTGTGATAATTCATGAAAAAAAATCAAGGAGAAGTATGGTGGGTGATTTTCTTTTCTTTTTTTTGGTTTTCATCCGGTGTCCGGTATCTACATTGGAGCCCGACTAAATTTGGATTTGCGCTGGAAAGTCCCACACTGAGAGTAAAGTGCTCCCTAATAAAGGTGACTCCGTATCGAGTGATTTTCTTTCATTGGTTTAGTACAATACTATGGGCAAATTACATACCACTCGCATGAAGTTTTTTGCAACATTTACTTAATTATTATACCTACTTCCAAATAATACAAAAGCGTTTATTATTTTATTAGTTTTATTTAACAAATTTCTATTATTAAATGGAATTTTGCTAAGAAGAGACAAACTTATCCTTGCAGTATAGGATAGGCTGCAAAGAATTCCGTAGATTGTGCCAATCGGATGATTAAAAAAAGAAAAGAAATTTAGCACAAACGTTTGAGACGGTGGCCAATCCCTCTTTTGTAATTTTATTGGTGAAGATTATTTTATACATCATACTTTATTTCAAGAAAATTAATTAAAAAGTTTGAACAATAGGCCGCCTTCTAATGCTATTCTAAGATTGTTTGTTTTATATGTGATATAATAATTATGAGTGCGTGCTTTATTATTATTTCATTATTAACATGAGAGTTGTTTCACCAATTAGTCAAGTGGTCTATGATTATTTAGATGCTATATGATTAAATATAGAATTACTTTCTTCGATTATTTTCACTTGTTACTTATTTTTTTTAAAAATTATTTTTATTTGTTATTTTGACATATCAAGAAAAGACTTTCTCATGTTTTACTCTTAACATTAAATATTCAATTTTTTAAATTATTTTTCAAAACTTAGTACTAATATTATTTAATAAGGATAATTTAATAAAATATTTATATTAATAGTTATTTTCTTAATGAGTTGTCAAGTCAAACATTAACAAATAAACATAAACCGAGGGAGTAGCAATTGTGTGGGGGCAATAACCAAACCTAACAAAAAAGCGGATCAGACTGCAAGACATGGTTAAAACGGAGATGCTTGCGGCGGCCCGAGAAATTTGGGACGAACCATCGGCTCGACTAAAGTTACTTCCTCTATTCTATATTAATTGATTTTTTTAGGATTTTTACATTGTTCAAAGTTCATAATACATAAATATGACCCATAACTTGGCTTCAACGGACAACTATGTCCTTCAACTTTGAGTGTGCACAACTAGGTACTTAAACTTGTATAAACTTGAACAAGCAGACACACATGTCCTACATGACATAATACACATTGGACACAAAATTGTCATGTAGGACGAATGTGTCTATTTGCTCACTTTTATACAAGTTTAAGTCTACTTGTGCACATCCAAAGTTAAATGTCATAGTTGTCAGACGTCAGTTGATGCCAAGTTAAGAGTCATATTTATGTATTATGCCTTCAAGATATATGTTTGAATTTTTTTCCATATTTGCCCTCTTATTTATTGCATTTTATATTTTCTAAGATATAAATTACACTAAAAAATTTATGATTCCACAAAGGACAATATTGAAACTTTATGGTTTAAATTATGTCCTTGATTGTTTTTCTTAATAAATATACATTACTTTACAAATTCAGTTAATATGGAATAGAGGGAATATTTCATACTGAGCAACTTACGAGACCCTTCTCTCTCTAGGTATTTTATAGTCCAAAATCATCATAATGATTCTCGAGGAGATCAACAATCAATTCCGAATTTTGCAATGACCTTCTTTCAATTAGCCTTAAGGCTAGCGTTCTAAAATTGTAGTCATTCCACATTGAAGCAACCGATTTTTGGGACTATAGTAAAACCTCACTAAATTAAAACTCGTAAAAGTAATAATCTCTTTAAGATAATATTTTCTCCGGTCTTAACTTGTGTCAATAAAAAAAAACTACTCATTTCGATAGGATAATAAGATAATATATTTTTAGAAGACATCTATATAAATATATGGTTCTATTAATATTATAAATTAATAATTATTTAAAAATATAAACATATATTAGACCATTTAGTGAAATATGATTTTATTGTGTTTTATTTTTTGTTAAAATTTAAATCTAGTTGAGGTTCATCTCAAACTTTTCTTATTGCATCCGAAAGTTTGGATGTTGCCACGACTGTAAATCTTTTTTAGTGCATGTGGAATGATTTTTTTGGTACTCACATAATGCTTTTTTGGTTTGTCATGGTTGATTTTGTGATACATTTTAAATAAGAAGCAATTTTTTTAATATGATTTCAAGAAATTTCCTATATTTCTTATATAATTTATTATCTCATCATTATACATAAAATGTTTTTAGTAAAGATATAATAAATAATATTTGATTATTAAGAAACAATGTATTATATCTAATGAATTTATTTTTACTACAAATCATTAAATTGTTGAATTTATTTTACAATGAATCATTTAACCAAAAGAAATATTATAATGAATCATACACATACATTGTACTTTATGTATAGTAAAAAAATATTTTTTTATAAGAATTAAATAAATATGAGACATAATTTAGTATGATATAATAATTTTGATGCATTCATTGTATTTTATGTATAATAATTTTATTTTTTTATGTGAATTCAATAAATCTGATACATAAATTAGTAAGATACAATGATTTTAATGTAATCAAAATTAATATCATTAAATTTTAAAATATTCTTTAAATTAAAAAAAAATTATTAATTAAATAATACCTTTACAAAATAATAATATTTCATTATCCAATCTATATTTAATTTAATATACAAAAGAGTTTTTTAAGAAGATCAAAAGGCATAAGAAAATCGCAAAAGTCAGTCTAGTAGCCTCTTTTATCTTTAAACAATTTGTAGTTTTGTATTGGTGTTTAATTAAAAAAGAAATAAACTTAAGTACTGTTAACTAAGAGGATAATTTTTTCGATAAACGAGAATTGTGTGATCTAATTAATGATCGATCATATGATTATAATTAATACCCTCTAGAAATAATCGACTGTAATAATAGTAGGGAATAAAGAAAAAAAGAAGATAATAAAGGAAGATAAAAAAAGAAAGGGCAAATAATTGATCCAAAATCCGAAAGAAAGGGTCCCACGAGTGATCCAGTGGATCACGGGGAGTGTCTCAATGATAAACACAAGGAAACAAATTCGGTCCCACCTACAAAATGGAAGATCCTTACGAATATTCCCCTAATATTCCTCTCCTCCCTCCTATATGTTTACCTTCTCTTTCCTCCCACCGCCCATCTTCTACTTTCCTCATTCGCTATATAAATCCTCTCCGGCCTTCTTACTTTCTCATATCTCATCCTAAACGTAGCGTTTTACTTTTGCAACAATCTCTAATCGAAATTCTAAAAACCATGTTTACAGAAGTTGAACAAGAACAGCTTATTGAGAAACTCGAAATCTTCAAGATCCAAGGCAGAGATAAACGTGGCCGCAAAATTTTGCGCATCATCGGAAAATTCTTTCCTGGTAAGCAATTTTTTTTTATGTATATATATTTCGTTTTCTTGATTAGTCCTGTTGAGTTTTTGGTCTGAATTGTGGATTTGTTTTTGTTTGTGGATTACCAGCTAGAAATCTGAGTGTTGAAGTAGTGAACAAGTATTTATCGGAGAAGATCTTTCCAGAACTTGAGAAAAGGCCGTTCGCCGTGGTGTATGTTCACACCGATGTGGAGAAAAGCGAGAATTTTCCCGGAGTGTCAGCTTTACGATCGTTCTACGATGCGATTCCGGTGAAAGTCCGAGAAAATCTGGAGGCTGTTTACTTTCTTCACCCTGGTCTTCAAGCCAGGCTTTTCCTAGCCACATTTGGTCGCTTCATCTTCAGCGGAGGGTAAGAATGTCAATTCCTAAGATACAATACATTTGTTTGAAAACCTATTTTAGAATTAATCCAATTTTCAAACAAGTAGTAGATCTTTCTATAATATAATCTGTAAATTGACAAGGGAGAAATCTAATTGGGCGTTATGTGCAACAGGTTATATGGGAAATTGAGGTATGTGAGCAGGGTTGATTATCTGTGGGAACATGTGAGGAGGAATGAGATTGGGATGCCAGAATTTGTGTACGATCATGATGAAGATCTTGAGTACCGTCCGATGATGGACTATGGTCTGGAGAGTGATCATGCCAGGGTCTATGGTGATGCGCCTGCAGTAGACTCACCTGTTACAATGTACTCCATGAGATGCATCTCATAAGATAATTGGAAGGCTTTTGCAGTCTTTTCGGTTCATAGTTAGATGTGTAGGAACCTTGTGGCTTTCTTCTTTTTTCTTCCTCCATCTGATGAATTTTTTTTGGTCTGTATATACGATTAGATGGAGGTTAGCAACTAGCAAGCACTTCTTTTTCTTCTTGTTGTTGTTATATAGTAATAGTACAAAGGTTATCAACTTTGAAAGCATTGATGGTTTCCAATCTGAAAAATCCTGGAACGATGTTTTTTTCCTTCTCTAAGATGAATATACTTCATGAAGAATTTTGTGGTGTTGCTGATCAAGAAAATAAAATGTTGAAGTAGAAGAATCATAAGACTGGGTGAGGGAGGATACATAGTGCTTCACCTCTTCCCGTGAATAATGATTAGCAAATCAAAAATCATATTCTGGCTGGGTGGGTGATATGAGAACCACATTTCTGGGTAGATATGTCGTGTTGTACAAAATGAAGATAGACTTGTGTAATATGAACAAACCAACAAATTGATCATATTGTTGATAATTTGTTTATCATAATAAATTATTGTAAAGACGAAAAAGGTGAAACAAATTTATCTGGATTTGATTTGAAAGATAATCTGATTCCGAGTTCAAGTCCTTGATCTTGACAAATAGAATCGGAGTGACCAAGGATCGGCTCTTAGAGTATAGCCTCTCTCGGGGTCCTCGGCTCTTAGATTATAGCCTCTCTCGGGTTAGTATGAAGGATTTTGTGCTTGTGGCAAAGCGTGCAAGTGGGTGAATGCATCACCAGCAAGCTAGTCACTTGGAACGGGATTAGTAATAAGAGTACACGAACTAAGGAATTTGTGCTCGCAACGAACACTTGGAACATAGAGGTATTCACTGATCGATGTTGAAATTTATATTTGCAAGAATTCTATAGTTCTCCGTTAAAACTGATTCTTCTTCTTTCTTTATCTTTTGGTTTCTTGCACTATTGTGTGTTCATCTTTTAGTTTCCTGCCTCATTGATTCATTGTGTATTAAAATAGCATGTTATGGGATTTCTAGCGGCATACCCACTTTTCCCCTCTCTGCAGACTCAACCTCATTTATTGTTTTGAAGGCAAAAAAGGACTCAACTACTTGAGACCATGATTTTAATCTTCATAATCAATAACAATCTAGAGGCAGTAAAGAATAATGCGTTGAACTGTAGCATTAGATATATTCCCCAAATGTTAATTTCTGCAGAGAATTTGTTCTGTAGTCTCTCACAAGGTAAAAGGAAAACATGTGAATGTGTTTAGTTATAGCATGAGATACTCCAAATGTTAATTTCTCCGGAGAATTTGTTCTGAAACCTTTTCACAGGAAAAGAGGGAAACATGTGAACACTAATGAGTTTGGTGAGAAGAATCAATGGAGTTGTATTAGGCATAGTGCATGTTTTTGGGGAACTCTTTTTCTGGGGCATTAAAGCACAAACTTTTGTGTTAAAAAGGGAATAAAGACATGTAATTTTCAGAGCGTGCAGCTCAACACTAGTGTTTCTGTAGAAGTCCATTCATGTATGTAACCTTATAGGTTTGCCCATGCCAAAATATGGTTGCACCAAATGAAATTGTTTAATTCAATTCGAATGACTTCGTCTAGAATTTACTGAAGAAGCAGTGACATACAATATTTTTCACTTTTCAAGATTCAATCTAACACATAAAATGGATCATAAGATTACATCTAACCATAGCATTGGAGAAAATCTCAGCTGAGCCAGCTAGGAGGTGGCCAGAAAAAATCAGTGTAACCAGGGAAACATGCCATTGGCCCGATAAACGCGTTCTCCATGTCAAATCCCCCAAAGTGAGTAGTCATTTTCATGTTTTAGCGCATCCCAAAAATCATGGAGATCTCCATCCCCAGTTTTCCTGAATTGACCTGTGAAGTAAATTAAATTTCCTCTACACCCTGGAAAATCTTTAGCAGACACAGAGTAGGACCAGTAAGATGCATAGTCTCCGACAAATATGACTTGGTCACTCAAGCAATTTGTCGACAAATACGACAAATTGTAGCTTCCTTCCAACAATGCTCCTCTTCCTCAAGTTTATACACTCTGAATCTAACTGCCATATCGCACTCTGGCTCCTTTGCATCATCATCAGAGGTTGCAGCATGTTGTTCAGCGTAATTTGTTTGCTCTGATGGTTTCTCCAAGTACCTGTCCACTAGAAATAGATCTGCATCCCCTGATGATTTCAGCAAGTATGACCGGTGGTTATGAAAGTAGCCGTTCCTGTTTGGATGAAACAAAGGATCTGTAACTAGACTCACTTTCGAAGAAGAATCCACCATAACCCCTCGCCCATATTGATCAATAGCGAACCATTTCTCCTTATACTTCACCACATCATGATAAAAAGGCTTGTTCAGGTTATGGCCTCTAAGAAGACTATCCATCAAATAATTTAAGATAACTGTCCCTCTTTGTATTACTTGTAAATAAAGACACTTTTCCACTCCCAAGAATAGCAGTTGCTTTCGGATTACGTCCGTCAGAGGATTGGCGGAGAGCGGAAAGATGAACAACTTTACCAATAAGATAGCGATTTGTATCTGCACGCAACATCAAGGAAGATTTATGCAGTATAGAGACGCGAAATTTGTTCAAATTAATCTCTCTTGGAAACAAGTTTGATGGTGATGAGGAGATAGGAATAGGACTTCCAGTGACCGGGTTCAATAGGCGAAGTTGGCTTTGGCCGTCTCCTTTGAATTGTTCCGCCACAGCTATCAAAGAACTGGTAGGTGATGGTGTGGATGATGAAGGTGGAAGTTGTTGAAGATCAAGCCGGAAAACTAATCTTCTGATGTATTTACTATGAGGCTTTTTACTGGGAATGTATTTAGGGACAATTGAGAGTCTCTTATGAGGAGGGAATGGAACTGCGGATCTCCAAGAGGTACAAACAGCACGAAAATGACCAACTTGAAATGAGTATTTGAGGCACTTGCTGATCTTAACAAGTAGTTCTTCAGGAAGATCAGCCCATATGGGCCAAGAATATATGTTCTTGGTCTTCTTCTCTTTCATCTTCAGCAAAAATTGCAAGTTAAATGCAGTTGAAGAGTTGTTTAATAGTAATGGACTTGAATATCACAGTACTTGGAGATGACTTTAAACTTATAGTTCATGACAGTACTGAAGCCTAGCTATTGGTTGAGATAAAAATGGAATAGAGACATGAAACTTTTGGAGTACACAGCTCAACTATGCTTTTTCTATATGCCAGTCTTTCCTTATTGTGCTATAAAGCTAGCAACTCATTTTTGTTGGGAAAACACGAACTATCACAAAAAATATATATATGGTCAAAATAATGAAAATAAAATGAGAAAATAATGACACCAAAATTTTTACGTGGAAACCCTTCTAAATAAGGAAAAAATCATGGGCCAAGAAGAGCAACTGATATCAATATAGTAAGAAATTTTACACCGTGTAGTCACGAATACAATACTCAAAGTGACAACTACACACTCAAAAGGAATAACACTCTTTTGATTCCACCTTACTAAAATATCGCTCACACTCTATTTTTCTTATATAGTCTATGGAATACCTCACTTTGCTCTCAAAATGGTTTTTGTTCTCTAACTTGATGTGTTCTACAAATGAGCAAGCATGTTCTATTTATAAAAGAAATCTACTCCTAAAGATGTCACCAATGACATCATGAATATACCAAAAAATCAAACTTTGCAACTATGTAGTTATCTTGGTAAGATTTAGTTGGTATGTAGTTGTACCAAATTAAGACTTTAATAAAAATGGGGCTGGAACCCCACAAATCTCCCCCTCCAGTCCTATTCACTGGAAGGAAGTATCTTCATCTTCTTTAGAGAGAGCTTATACCCACAAGTTCTTTCCATAACTCGAACTTGTCTTTCGGTATCGTCTTGGTCAACATATCTGCAGGATTCTCACTTGTGTGGATTTTTTTGACGTGAAGTGATTCACTCTCCACTTGCTCACGAATCCAATGATATCTGACGTTGATGTGTTTTGTCCTTGCATGATACATGGAGTTCTTGCTCAAGTCTATTGCACTTTGGCTGTCACAATAGACAATATACTTCATCTGATGCAAACCAAGCTCTTGAAGAAATCGCTTTAGCCATATCATCTACCTTGCCGGCTTCAGTAGCCGCAATATACTCAGCTTCAGTTGTAGATAGTGCAACACACTTCTGCAACTTCGACTGCCATGATATAGCTCCCCCCGAAAAAGTAAACAAATATCCAGTATTGGATTTTCTGTTATCAAGGTCACCTGCCATATCAGCATTTGTATAGCCCTTCAAGATTGGATCTGATGCTCTAAAACACATGCATTCATCTAAGCTTCATCTAAGATACCTGAGTATCCACTTCATAGCTTTCCAATGCTCTTTTCCCGGATTGTCGAGAAATCTGTTGACAACACCAACTGCGAGAGCAATATCAAGTCTAGTGCATACCATTGCATACATTAGACTTCCGACGACGGAGGAATATGAAACTTTGGCCATGCTCTCTTTTTCCGCCCTTTTGTAGGACATATCTTCTTGCTCAACTTCATATGACCAGCAAGAGGTGTGCTAACAGACTTAACATTCTTCATATTGAAACGCTCTAGTACACGTTCAATGTACTTCTTCTGTGACAAATAAATCTTTCTTTCATCTCTGAGACGAGTAATTCTCATGCCCAAAATTTGTTTGGCATGACCTAAGTCTTTCATAGTAAAAGACTTACGCAACTCTTTCTTCAAGTCGTCAATCTTGGAAGTATTCTTGCCCACAATCAACATATCATCCACATACAATAAGAGGATGATAAAATCATTGTTAGAATTTTTTTGTACAAATACACAATGATCTGAAGAAGTCTTCTTATAGCCTTGCTCCTCCATAACAGATTCAAACTTTTTGTACCACTGTCTAGGAGCTTGCTTTAGGCCATAGAGACTCTTTTTGAGTTTGCACGTAAAATTTTCTTTACCTTATACTTTGAAGCCCTCAGGTTGTTCCATATAAATCTCTTCTTCTAGGTCACCGTGAAGGAAAGCTGTCTTCACATTCATCTGCTTAATCTCTAAATTAAGACTAGCAGCCAAACCCAGAACTGTACGAATCGAAGACATTTTCACAACAAGAGAAAATATTTCGTCAAAGTCAATACCCTTCCTTTGACCAAATCCCTTAACAACCAATCTAGCTTTGTACCTGGGCTTCAAGTTGTGTTCTTCAACTTTAACTTTGAACACCCACTTGTTCCTCAAAG